AGATGAACTGGAAAGAGAACGTATGGAACGACATCGTCACATCCATGAACCTGAACTTCTGGAAGAAAGTGATTCGGAAGAAGAAGAAAATGAAGATGAGAAGGCTATGCAAAAAGCCACCAATAAAATTACATTGGCTTCCGAATCGGATTCCGATTCAGATGTAAGTGAAACGGAATTGGAACAAAGACGTCTCAAGTTACGTCAACGTATGTTACAACAACAAAAAGAAGAGGAAATTCTCCAAAAGGAAGAAGAGAAACAATCTGAATCATCTGATTCCGAGAGTTCCGAATATGAGGAGGAAACTGAGAGTGAGGAAGATAATGAGCCACGTTTGAAGCCCTTGTTTGTGCGTAAAAAAGATCGTGCCACAATACAGGAAAAGGAACGTGAGGCCCAGAAACAAAAACAATTGGAACTTGAGGCCAAGCGTTTAGCCAAGGAGAGGAGACGTAACACTTTGCGTCTGGTCGAGGAGAGTGTCAAAAAAGATTTGGAAAAGACAAAGGTAAGGTCATCACATTGCCGTGATTTGTAAAAGGCATACTTAATTAAAATGTATTTATTTCAGAACGATACCGCTGAACCACAAATTGAAGATGTTTGCACAGATGATGAGAACGACGAAGTGGAATATGAAGCATGGAAACTACGTGAACTTAAACGCATGAAACGCGATCGTGAAGAAAGAGAAAAGTGAGTAATCTAATTATGATCTTGTTGGGAAAAATTATTCAAATTAACATGCCTTTAACAGACATATTTACATTAGCCGTTGGGTCTTTGGGTCATGTTAATAGGTTATTGTGTAAAATGTAATTCAGATTGTGATAGTTCAAAGCTTTTTAATTTATTCTCCAATCGAATTCAAAACACACAGGGTCAGATTGCATCTCCACCTTCATGACAGGATCACTTTAAAAAGAAATTCGTGGAATTTTATGATCCAAAGCATACGAAGTGTTGGGAAATGTATATATGTATATTAGGAATACTGAAATTATCGGGGATTGCTAGATTTGAAAGTTCTCTGTATAATTAATCTTTATGTTTGGAACTTCATACTGTCAGCGGATAATACTCCTCGAGAAAATATGCATATCATAATACTGAGCTGTCACATAAAACTGATAGAAAAACACATGATAGAAAATCTACACGTAAAATTTAACAAAGGCATATATGTATTGGCCAACCGGATTTTTGTGTAGAAATACTTCAAAAAAAGCTGTAACCAAACTCTGCCGTTTCTTTTGATTTTTAAAAAAGTAATTATTAAAAATTGTAATTCATTGGCAAACGTGTGGTCGATTATTTCTTTGTCGATATTTCACTTAGTCACTAATCATTTTTTCTTTTTTTTCAGTGCCGAACGCGAAAAGGCCGAAATTGAGCGTATGCGAAATCTCACAGAAGAAGAACGACGACAAGAATTGCGTGTCAATCCGAAAATTGTTACCAACAAAGCTGTCAAGGGCAAATATAAATTCTTACAAAAATACTATCATCGTGGTGCCTTCTATTTGGATGAAGAAAACGATGTGCTGAAACGTGATTTCGCCCAAGCCACTCTCGAAGATCACTTCGACAAGACCATCCTTCCCAAAGTAATGCAAGTGAAAAATTTCGGCCGTTGTGGTCGTACCAAATATACACATTTAGTTGATCAAGATACAACGAAATTCGATTCACCATGGTATGCCGAGACAGCAAATAATCTGAAATTTCACAGTGAACGTGGTGGCGGCATGAAGCAAGTTTTTGAGAAACCTTCACTTTCGAAACGTAAAAAACTGGATTAATTTTGTTCACGGGATGACTATACAATAAATTTGTATAAGACTTTAGATTAAGGTCTAGACTTAGTAAATAAGTGATTATTAAAAATTACCTCTTTTTTGTGTCCAATGAACAAAAAACGGATTATTTATATATTAACACCATTTGGCACTATTAGGAGCACATGTACGAACAGAATGATGATCACGAATTAACTAGCATTTTTATAGTTACTCTTTTTTGTTATGGATTTCAATTACATACGTATTTTGATTTGACAGATACACGAAAAATACACAACAAACAATAATCACATTCTACCGTGAAGTGGCGTATCAGTGATATTGATTTTCTTTCATTCAATTGGACTGGTCGGTCACTTAAGGCTGTCAGCTTGTAAATCAAGACTTCAAGATAATCAAAAAAGGCCAACATTAGATTAGCCGAAATGCCGTGTACATGGGATTTTTCTATTAGTATAATCCATCAAATTTATATTGTTTCTGTACCTTGAGAACTGGACGAACGAGTGTTTAGAAAAAAGCGGTTAGAACTGGTACCATCTCATATTAGTACATGCCAATTTTTTGGAGAATAAAAAATATTTAAAATAAAAAGGATAATTGCAACAGCATGCGAACATTTTTTGACACTAGAACTTAAGAAGTTGTAGTTATTTCCAGGAAAAGAGTTAGTGTCATTGCCGCTATAAAAACACTTAAAAATGTATATTCTTGAACTTGATTGATATTGCAAATCAAAATACACTCAAGAAATCCATCAACAAACATAACAAGTGATGGATTCAGCACTACTGATATAGCAATCAAAACATAATTGTTTAACTACAATTTGTAAAAATATTGTTGGCTTCGTTGGAAAGGCAAACATAACCAGTGGAATATGGTACTTGACTACTATAACACAGCGGCGTCGAAATCAGATATTCACATGAAAGCTTATTTCAGCACGAGTAAATTTCACGTCTTTAACGAGTCACATATAACCATATCTCCTGAGTTATTGTATGTATTGAAATACATCGATGAGGAAAACACATTCAAAAATATTTAGCGTAAAATTTCAGATGTTCGTATTAGATTTACATATAGTGCAAATGTTGATATCTTATCAGAAAATCCCATATAAAAATAATTATTTGTGTAACTGTATTTACAGATTAAAATAATTAATTTTGGCGCTCAAAACAGGTTTTGATTTCTCAAGATTGTCATTTTTGACACGACTTGGGTGTTTTGGATTTCCAACTCTTTTTATCTGTTTAACTATGTAGCTAAATATTTGCAGATAATTTAAAGCCATATCAGCGCCTACAAAAATGCTGTATGTTTTTGCAACTCCCCAACTAACAATTAGAGATTTTTCCGAATTCTCTAACATTTTCCCATTATTTTCCGAGTAGTCTGCACATATCCTTAAGAGGAATTTAATAGTGTAAATTTAGTTTATAAAAAAGGCGATTTTAAATTGAAAATTATAGTAACTTCCGGTAATGTGGACCACCATTTTCTTTTTTTGATAGTCCACATTTGACGCATGGTCCACATTACCCGAAGTTACTCTAAAATTTAAAAGAAAAAACACCTCGGAAAAATTAACATTTTGTAAGTAAATATATGAGAAAGAACAAAAACCTCCTACCGAATTAAGATAACGAATTAAAATTTTTATTTTCATAATTACTATCGAATCACCGTATAAATGTATGAATTTTTTTACGATATTCGAAAAAAACATTCGAAATTATTCTCAGTTTTTTTTTTTTTTTTTTTTTTTTTGAATTTCGGGTCAACCATCTGATAATTTACATCTGATTTTTAGAAATTCTGAAAAAGTATCCGAAAATCTTCTGTCTTCTGTTTCGAATGTTCCTTTAGAGTTTTGTCCAAATTTGAACACAAACTCGAAAATTCCCACAAAAAGTCCCTTTTGCCATCTGAATTATTTGGGTTAGAATTCGTTAAGAAATTCCAACGAAATTTTTCGAATTCGTGGGCACATTCACACAATTTTGTTCCGACTTTGTTTCAAATTCGTCATATAGAAACAGGCGTTCAAAAAATATGCATCCGCAATTTTTTTAAACTGAAGGCACGCATTTCTTATTTTTCTATTGTAAAACATTGCGGACGCGTCTTTTTTGACAGAGATGGAAGTTTCCAATACACTTAACTTTTTTATCTGTTTATACCGCCCTTTTTGTTCTAGGCTAAGAACTTTCCGAACTGCCCTCGTAGATGGTAAAATATGCTAATATATATCTCATCATTCTGTTTTATTTAATAGTCTGTGTAATGACCGCTTTTGTACGAGTCTCTTTAGAGACCCATTCCCTTAATTTTTTAAAATTGGTTAATGGTAACAAAGACATTACAGACAGACCAATATAAATTACAGATCAATATAAATTTATATCAACATCTTCCTCAATTGCTGTCTACCTTTGGAAGCAATGGCTTGTCTACATTCGACGCTGGAGTTGTTATTCCATGATCTACAAAATCTGCAGTCTTGCCTTCCTATTTTCTTTCGGATATCTGGATGACATATCCGATACTGATACTGTAGGGATTGGAAAAGGAATTAGAAGAATCAGAATCAGTTAGAACTGGTGTGCTATGCGACACCAGAGTTATGAGTCTATTTTTTAATTTTTAAATGTTTTAAGATATCTTTGTTTCTCTTTTAAAATTACCCACAGCCCATGGGAATTAAGATAACGAATTAGCGCCAAAGAATATTAACGGCCAATGGAATTAATAACAAGTCATTTTTTTTCTTCTTAAAATCTAAACTTTTATGGAAGACCACTTTTGATGTCTGTAGTTTTGTGTGACCTCTTACACAAAACTACCTGGAAACTCTTGTAAAATAACCCTAAAAAAGAATTATTGAATATACCGAGGTCTATTAAGAGATTGGATGTAGTCGGAACTTATTTTATGTCGATTCACTGACTCTGATTTGGAGGTTATCTAAGACCAGTTTAAGAAGACCATAAAAATAGTTGAACATACTATTTTTATGGTTCTTGTTCAGGAAAAAACTTTACATTATATAACTGTAGATTACTTCCAGAAAAAGTAGTGATATAGATAAATATCTAGATATCTTACAAATTCAGTCGTCAATATTTAAACCTATTCCAATGAATTTAAAACCTATGTTTTCTTTAAATCATAACATTTATTTCAACTTCAATATGCCATGCCTAAATATTCACGCGGCACAGGATTCTCCGTATAGTATTGTTTAAATTTACACGCATACTTATTACGTTCGGCAATAAAACCGAACGTATTAAATGTCTTCGATATATAAACTAAAACATCCAATACCTTAGCATGTGCCTCCAATTTACGAAACGATTCAATGGCTCTTTCCAAAACGGGCAAAGATTTCAAGAGATGTTTATGTTGTTGTTCACGATCTCGACCAGCAGCAACTTGACAACGGGCAAAAATAAAATCAGTTTTTGCACGATCATAAATACCTCCGTTGGTGTAAATTGTTTCAATGGAATTTCGTAAAGCTTGCAGGGCTTTTTGGGGCAAGCCCATTTGCAATAGAACTTGAGCCATTATTACATCGACCATAGCATGTTCGTATTGCATATACGATGATTCTGATATCACAGATGCCCGCATTAGCAAGTCAATAGTATCCGATGAAACATTGTTTTCATTCAGGCTATTACAGGCCAAAAGAGTGAGGACACGAACTTGTCGCAGCGCATCGAGTTCGTTGTCTTGCAGTAAATGTTGTAAAATCTTACGCGCCGTGTTGTTGTAACTTTTCGAAATATATACAATAGCCCTTTGTATGTTGCCATCATGTTTGTCCAGCAAATATAATTGACAGCACCAACGTAAAGCATCCTGCCAGCGGCCACGATAGATCGCCTGTTGTATGGAAATATGACATTCACTGGTCATCCAATCAGCGGCAAAGGGATGACGGGGGAATCTGGTACGCGCATGGTATAGCAATACAGCACTTAGCTGATGTTCTCCCTGTGCATTAAACCACAAAGCAAGGTTGGCAAGCACCTTACTAACACTCTCCGAGTTACTAACATCGCCAAAGACCCATGTTTTCTTGAGATTCAATAATAACTGTGAGTATAAAGCTGACATTTCATAGCGTCCATAGAGAACCCACAGTGTTGAACGTAAGGCCAATGAGTCTGAAACATGTTCTAGCAGAGTATTTTTGTTATTCAACTCATCACTCTTTAGCAATAGTTCAAACAAATCCAATGGTAAGAAACCACATTTGGCCCCAAATGCCACCACAAACTCAATGGCCAACGACAGGCTTTGAATGAGTCCTGGGTCTTGAATGTCTGGAAGGCTCTTTTCAAATGGCCCTATACGACTGCTATTCAATAGACAATACCATGAATTAGCCAAATCGAGACAACGTTTGTCGCCACATTCCTGAGCTAACATGATGCATTCTTTGAGGGCATTTAACGCCTCCTTCTTGTGATTGAATGTGGCATGTAAAATGGCTAGATTTACACTGAAATATTGAAAACCTTTTTGATCATTTTGTGTTATCATATTGGGGCTGCGATCAAAGGATCGATGTAAAGCATCCAATGCACCAAATACATCACGCAATCGCAACTGATTCATATAGCCCAAAAAGTATGCCTTGGCATTCAGAGGATTATCCTGTATGATTTCATTTAGTTTTGTTTGCATTTCAATTGGTGGTAGAGCTCGTAATTCATTTTTCTCCAAGAGATTACATTGTTGGCTGACAAATAAATGGGCTTGCTTGGGTGACCATTTGCTGTGTGGATTACGATCTTGATGAACCGTCTCGGTGTCCAATACAGATTCTTCTATGGTATTTTCATCGTCATCTGTAATATTGGTTGCCGTGGTACTTGTTGCAGAGGGTAGACCACAATGTGGTTTACGTGGTCCCAATGTTAGTGATCGTACACCTATATAATACCAAAAATTAGAACGAATTAATGTCTGGAGTCCCCTAAAATATTGTGGGACAAATTTACCTTTTTCATAATACAAACATATGTTTTTATGTAGTGCCATCATTTCCGGAAATGATAACCGTTCCAGGATCACTCCAACTCTCCGTATATACAATCCAATCAAACTATATTGACTAACGCCCAACTGTTCGGCCAACATTTTTTCAATATTATCCATTTCGGCAAAATCAAATAATGTTTCAATGCCCACCGAGAAGACGTCGGTCATTACCTTTTCAAAGCCCTCCAAATGTACTGGATCTATTTTGAATTTTGGCGAACACAACAACTGATACAGATCATTATAGGTCATATCGGGATATTGTATTAGTTTCAACAGCAACATGCAAAAGTTCCGCCGATATTTGTTGGGATAAAATAGACCAGTGTCGGTGGCAGCTTTTTTGGCCTACAAAAGGAAAGAAGTTTTAAAAGTAAATAAGTGTGATATCGGATGGAAAACAATTAGTTCCAAGCTGGGCAGGATAAAAGGAATATCGGATAAGTGGGAGCTATATCTAAATATGAAATGATTTAAGTCAATCTCAATAAAAAATCAAGTTCAAAATTGTACTAGATAATGGAGATATAGTCAGTGACAAAAATATATAAAAAATCTATACCGATAAGACTATCTATAATGTCCTTGCACCTACCTTTATATACTGTTGAACTAATATCAACACAGAGACTTTGTGTGGTGTCGGCATCTCAATCCTTGCCACCGTTGGATTTCGAGGATCCAATGCCTCCAGTTCTTCAAAATGCATTTTATGCTTTAATTACTGCGTAGATCGGAAAAAATCCTTTCAGATTTAAATATTTATATTATTTTTGTTATTTTTGCAAACTTTTTGGCCGGCGAAAATGTAAACAACAAAACAGTCACTGCAGAAAAGAAATATTGAAAAACGTTCCACCTTTACGAATGGGATGGGATAAGACAAAATGCCCGGTAAAGAAGAAGTCAAAAAAGAAGACGGAAAGTTACGAATGAGGTGGGATGGAGACTAAAAGATTGTTTACGAATGAGGTTTAAGGAAAGGATGAGAGTAGCAAGGGTAGCTCACATTCATCAGTTTGGAAATTACAACCCTGTAAACTGGGATAAAAGCCAAGAAGACGAATGCCACCTAAACAGATGTTTGTAAAACGATCAGCTGTTGTTTTAAGGTGAAGGGCCTACTTTACACTACGAATCTTGGTCATGCATCATGCGAGTTTTTTTTTTCACTCTCTCATTGGTAAATTGATAGAACGGTTGGCAAAAATTGCCGCAGATAGAAATAAGAAGTACGAAAAGGTACTTTTCAATTTTACATCAAATGATAATACATCTTATAATTTAAGTATAAATGTAATTAAGAATAATAAAAAAAATCTGGTACATTCATGTAAATTCGTACCTTTTGTGAAAGAATAGTACGTTCAGTCCAAACGTTCCGCATCTACATTAGAAATCTTAAAATTTTTAAAAAAATATTTTAAAAAAATATTTTTATAAACGATAAGTTCAAATTTTTCAGCAATTTGTCCCGCACTCAAAAACTAGAAAAATTTAACGAAAAAATGCATATTACGAAAATTAAAGACTCATATCTCGGATCTCCGTGATTATGGAGGTAATACCGACCTGAAATGAGTTTCAGAACAATTTATCATAGGTAAACTTAAAATGATTTAATCATGTTCGTTAAATATTTTTTTCATATCATCATATTTTTTCATGGTAACTTAAACCATTTGCTTCTTCGTAATTTAGTCATCACAATTCTGCGGCTGTACAATCAAAAAATATGTTACCAAATTTTAAATTTGAAAACCCGAAAATAAACCAACATAGCAAAGCGGTTTATCATATTTATTAAAAGGTCATTTTATTTGTTGGTATCAAACGGTTTATTCAAAAAAACAACTCAAATCCCTGGACACTTTGCTGTATTGAAATAAATATACAAATATGGATAAAAAATTTTCCGAGCATTACCAAAAAAGAGTGATTAAATATGACTTTATTCGTTATTAATGTGGTTGGCATCGTTTCGATCCAAATGCACAACGACGACTACATCATTGGTCTGTTCCCGTACTGCAAGAATCTACTATTCTTTACTACGATAACAAACTTCATTTATGATATCGACAAAAATAATAAAATCTAGTAAATTCTTGCAGTACGGAACATATTGTTGTTGTGGTTGTTCAAACATTGACTTTGGTCATTATGAGAACGGCCGATGGTACCAGACCCAGGGCGCTTAAGGGTTTCTCAAAGTCATCAAAGTCAAAAACTTTGCGAGGAAATGTTGTCATTAGACCAAATGGCGTTTCGTTACCGGTCTTCATTTGTATGAACACACGTACAGCGGATAGTTGTTCGTTAACGTTAAATGTTTCCGTTAGAGTAGAACCATCTTGGAGACGTATTTGAATTCGGGTTTCCTTGTATTCCTTTGGAGGAGATTTAACATCAGCAGTGGTTGTGGTGGACGACACCGACGATGAAGCAACCGGTGTTGTTTCGGCAGTGGGTGATGTCTGACTGGCTTTGCGTCTGGCTTTATCAGCCTCTATTTGAGCCTTTACACGTTCGCGTGCTGCCTTTTCTTCGGCTTTCTCACGTTTACGCTGTTCAATTATCTTTTTCATTTCCAATTCCTCGGCACGCCTACGAGCTTCAGACATGTCCTTGCCCGATTTAATGCGATTACGTTCACGTTCTAGAGCATCTTGCTTTTCGCGCTCTTCCCGCTCTAAACGTTTTTGCCTGAGTTTTTCTTCAATCAGAGCCAGTTGTTGTTTTTTCTCCTCCTCTGTTAAGGGTTTCTTTTCCTCGGTAGATTCCGAAAAATTGCTATGACCCGTCTTGGCAGCATGAAATTCCACCTCACCCTGATCTTTACACAGTTTACCGCAGTCGTCACATTTAAGTGATTTTGCTTCGCCAGCAGCAGCTTTCTCGGTATTTGAGGTGCTGGGTGATTCCTCGGCAGCAGGTTGCTGCGGAATTGGTTCATCGACATGAGCTAACAACCATTCCATAGCCGGTTCAACACCTTTATTGCTGGTAACCTTTAATGCGTATTCCGCTCTTTCTTTGGGGAAGCCCATATCCATTAACGTTTGTACATCGCCCATTGTTTCGTTATAATTGTCAGAAGCTGTTTTAAATAAATTCAAAAGATTATTCGCGAATTGGGAAATATAAACAACAAATTTGCAAATAGAAGATGACTTTGATTTCAGAAGACAAAGCTGCACAAAAACATGCAACAACGGCGGCAAAAGTTTCGCTGTTTGGTGGACTTGCTTTGTCGGCTTTAAGGGTAGCTCACATTCATAGTTTGCAAATGACATCCCTGTAAACTGAGGTGAAAGTAAACGAGCTGACGACAATTCAGTGTTTACGAATGAATTGAAAACAAACGAAGGACAAACGACCAAAAACGGTGAACAGCTGTTGTTTCAGAAGACAAGGCAGCACGAAGGTTTATAATAACGGCGGCAAAAGTTGCGATGTGTGGTTAACTTTTGATGATGTTTACACTGGACGTTTTTGATTGATTTTTTACTTTACTTTCTTTTGCGATAATACTGAGAAAAGTAGACAGACAACATTTAGTAAGATTTAGCAAATAAACAGCTAATTCAAGAAAACATTTGATTTGCGCCAAAATAAACCACAAACAGAGGACGAACATTTGGTAACAATTGTTACCAAATATCGAGTAAACAGACAGAGCTATTGGTTCTCATGCATAAAACCGAGCAATAGCGATGAGTTGAGTCAAGTAAGCAATTAATCAAGTAAGGGATATTGGACTACTAAAGAATATTATACCGATCAAATTACAAAAAAAAAGTTTTTTTTATTATTATAGGTTATGATTAAAAAATTTGATTAACTCCAGTAGAAATGGAATGGTTGTTAATACACAAAAAATTAAACATACATACGTATATTAAAAAATTGAATTGAATTTGAACTACTCCAATTTATAAATATATACAACGTAATGATTTATAAATTCTTCATTGAAAAAAAAAATAAATAAAATAAGTGAGCAATATTGGGCAATAATAATTTATAAAATTTGATTAAGTTGATATAATCATGAGTAATTGGAAATAAGATACTCTAACATTTTACTTTTAAACCAAGCTAATGAATGATTGAATGTTTTTAAGGGTACTGGTAATATTTTATATACTCGAGTAACCCGGGCAAGGAACGATCGTTTAAGAAGAAGTTAGTAAGGGAATTCGAATTTGAGGATTTCTTTGCGATCTTGTAAGAATAAACAGATTTACAAAGAACAGTGGTATCTGTTTCTTGAAACATTTGTAAAAAAGGATCAACATTCTCAGTTTAATAAAATCATAAAATTTGCAACCCAAAAAATCAATAACAAAAGGATTAACATGCTGCCAACTTTTTAGACATATTTTTTAGGTTCAATTGAAAGACATAGCTCTGTGCTATCCAGTTGTTGCTGAGTTGCTGGCACCACCACGCCTTTCTTCTGACTCCTCAAAAAATAATTCGCTAACCAGCAAATGCTGCTACCATCAAATTTATGTATTTATCATTTTATTATCAATTATATAAAAAAATAATAATTAAGATAAGAAGCCTGTATAATTTTTTATCCTCACTTGCTAAATTTTTCTTACGCTGTTTTATTTGTGATATAAAATATTCAGCCATGATTCTTTTTTAGTGTACGCGAGTCAACTAAGAGGCATGCTCAACAAAAGTTAAGCAAGAGCTTGCAAAAGTAAGCAAAAACTTATTTTTATGAGAAAATGAGAACAATCTCATCCAACTTCAATTTTCAAGTTCAAACTGAGCAAGAAAAGATCAAACGTGAGCAGTGAGTAAAAGCAAATACATCAAATTTTATTAGGCATACGACAAGGTCCTTTTACTCAAAAAGGTGCTTGTCGTATTTGTAGTAAAATAATTTTACAATTTATGTAACAATTTGAAGAACAGTGTTTGCTCCCGACACTTGACATTTTTTGTAGAGTCGTATTTACAAAATTAAACAAAAAATAAATAAAACAACTTATAAATAACTTAAAAACTAATGAACATAAACTAAAATAAAAAGGTTGAATTTTGGGCTATATATTTGCTATTGTAAAATACCAATCGCTGAACGATAAAATGTCTTTAAGCATGTTGCCGTAGTAATCAGCAAGACTACATAAAAACTTCTTGAACTGAGGGCGTAAATAGCTAACGGAATAATTTTCCTCTCTCTATAAATAAAATCATTAGAACAACGCTCATTAAGCAGCTTCGCTATCAAAGAGTACGTGAACGGAGCTAATATGTATGTTCCAAATGAGGAGTTAAATTAAATTAATTCTCATTTGACACTCGATTTCCATAAACAATTTCTCAGGTTACGTCTGTGAGCCACAAAGTTCTGGTATATGGATTGCGCCATTACTTTTTTAATAGTAAAGCTAGTAAAAGGGAAACATTTCAAACATTTCTCTCAGATTACAAAAACCACATAATATGTCTTCATTGCAATCAAAAGGTCGTTTACATTGGGCCGGATTTGGTTAATCCAGTGGGTTTAAATTTTCAATTCCTTTGAATATATGTCAAATAAATCGTCGTAAAGTAGGTTAACCCGGTAAAAAGTTCTAATGTAAATGCCGTATAAGTTTTTTATTTTAATTCCATTTTTAAATTTTCATGAATAATGGTCAAACGAGAACATGAGTGTAGGGAAGAATTAGAAAATTCATAAATTTGATGCAAGAGTTATTTGCGTGTCTAAACAACAATGAAATTTTTAAAGAAATTGAGAAGAAAATTTGTCATGAAATTTTGATCGTGTGACTACTGACAAAGAGAACGCCATTTTGTATTGTGCTCTCTTAAATTTCAACTTCAATGTTTTACCAGTTTTGTGGGTTCAGGAACGGGTTTCGAGTAAAAAGTTGCAAAATTTGTAAAATTAGTAGATTCTTTTAGGTTCTGGAACGGAACTATAGTTTAGCAACGTAAAATACGCTCTCATTTTGCTTACGCGCATCTACATTCATTTTTATTTCACCATTAAACGCCGTTCAATAACATTTGTGACTTCGTACTGTCAGTGATAAATAAAAACATACAAGCGTCTTTACTCCATTTTAGATTGAAAACAAACCACTAATAACTCCTCCAAAGAAACTTCGTTCGTATTAGATTCAAAAGGAAATCTCTACAAAATGGATTCACCCAAACTAAAGAATATATCGATAAGGATAAAGCGTACTAATCAACGCAATAATGAGTCTCTGGACGAAGTGCGTGAGCAAGTTTCCATGAAACGTTGCACGGTACGTCTCCAACGTTACAACGACGAGGAACTGCGTCAAATGGGTATGTGCCTATAAATCATTAATGATTAATGTTTTTTTTTTTTTAATGTAATTGATTTTTTTGGCAGCTATAATCAGCAGACCGACAACTTGCAAGGAGGAAACTACCAAACCCAAAAACATTAGAAATATGGTAGTACGCGTTAGGCGCCTAGTAAATTTAGATGGTGTATTGGTCCAGTAGAAGCAATTGGCCAAAGAGTTTCTAATGATTTCCTTGCTGGCCTGTGTCACTCCGATAGAAGCATGTACATAAATATGTATGTGTGCAATTAGCAATTAGAAGATACTGATTATTATTAAACATGGTATTTTTATTTTATTGCAAAACGGAAAACAAATATTGAAATCATTTTTACAATAATTGATGATGAAATGTTCAAAGCTAAACCTAGCCCTGCAGAAATAAAATAAATTTACATACAAAACAATGAAATAAAAATAAAATTTACAATGACAATTTATTTGTAAAAGAAATGGTGTTTTATTCGAGATTGCATCTGTGCATTTGTGGATGTATGTGTGTGTGTGAGTATTACACAGAAAACAAACGGTAATAACAGGGGTGTGTACGCACGGCTGACTTCCATTACTATGTGTACTAAATGGTACTAAATTTGAATTTTGGAAGAACCGAAAGAGGTATAATTCTAAAATATGGAGTTAGGATTCCTGTTGGGGTGTTTGGATTGATATATGTATGGAGTTTTGGAAAATTGTACTTATGTGTACGAAAAGTACTAAATTTGATCTGATTAAAGTGAACATATAGAGCTGAAATACTAAATATTTGGAAATAATATTACTCTGCTGTGTAGATTTGAGGTTTGTAAATAGTTTGGAAATTCGTACTTTTGTGTTCAAAATGTGGTACAATTTGGATTTAATGTAAACCATTAGTTCTGGAATCCTGAAATTCAGAAATAAGATTTTTATTGGATTGTATGATGTTGGTTGTAATTTGGATTTAGGTTATCCGATGGTGCTGGAATCCTTAAATCTGGAATTCAAATTACTTGTTGAAGTGTACGATTGGGGAATGTGTGTAGTTTTGGAAATTTGTCGTTATGGGTACTAAATAATCTGGAATCTTGAAATTGGGAAATGCTATTTATATTAGATTGTATGATGTAGGTAGTAATGGGAATTTGTACTTATGAGTACAAAATGATGCTAAATTTAATACAATTTGGACTTAAGTGATCCGATAGACTTGGCATCCTGAAATTTGGAAATAAAATTAATATTGAAGTGTAGGATTGGGGAATGGGTGTAGTTTTGGAAATTTGTAGTTATGGATACTAAATAGTCTGGAATCCTAAAATTGGGAAATGCGATTTTTATTAGATTGTATGATGTAGGTAGTAATGGGAATTTGTGTTTAAGGTTACTAAATTGGATACTATATGGATTTAGATGATCCGATAGAGCTGAAATCCCGAAATTTGGAATTAAAATTACTGTCGAAGTGTAGGATTGGGGAATGTGTGTATTTTTAGAAATTGGTAGTTATGGGTACTAAATCGTACTAAATTTGATACAATTTAGATTTAGGTGAACCAACATAGCTTGAATTCTAAAATTTGAAAGTAAGATTAGTATGTGTGTGTAATTTTGGAAATTAGTACTAATATGTACTAAATTTGGTACAATTTAAATTGTGGGTGAACCGATAGAGCTGGAATTCTTAAATTGGATAAGATGATTTGCATTGGATGATGTAGGTAGTAATAGAAATTTGTACTTATGTGTACTAAACGGTACCAAATTTAATACAATTTGGATTTAGGTGAACGACAGAGCTGGAGTCCTGAAATTTGAAATTAAAAGATTGGGGTATGTGGGAAGTTTTGGAAACGTACATATGATTGACAATGGTACTAACTGGTACTAAATTTGGATTTGGGTGAACCTATATTTGAAATTTGCATTTTTTGGGAATAAGTAATACTTACAAAGGATAATAAATTATACTAAATTTAGATTTCTGATCCAGTCAGAATTTGTGTGTAGTGTTGAGATATTGAGATAGTTTTGGAAATACGTACTATAGGAGAACATAAGTTTTAAATAACGAAGTAGCGGGCACATGCTAGTGAAATAAATAAAGCGGGGCTGTAAAATAAATACTTGGCAATATTTTTGTAAGTTATCAGTATATCTAACTTGGTTATAAAAGTTAATTGAAAGAAAAATGGGGTTTAATACTGCCCAAATAATTGCAAAAAAGAAAGATATTTTCAATGTACAATGTTAAAATAACTTTTAATAAACATACTAAAATTATTTTTTTTTCAAATTTCTTCAAAATTTTGCATATTGAAATTTTGCGTATTTTGGACGACTAAAGCCAGTATATGGCTGTGGATCACCATCCATTTTTATAGTTGGTTTTGATAATTGTTATGCTTTGTGGAATAGTTAAGCGGTCCATTTTCGTCATTGTAAGATTTTTAACTGAAAATAAGTCCAATTCCGAGTTTAAACCATGAAATAGTTAACTTTTCACGTTATGAATAACCCATCACCTTTAGATTTTGGGGTAAATGTTATCACATCGCAGTGAATGTCAGTTCCTTCTGCAAAACAGCTGTTTAGTTGGTTCTCGTCTCGTTTGTTTTCACCACAGTACACGGTTGTAATTTGCAAACTGATGAATGTGAGCTACCCTTGCTACTCTCATCCTTTCCTTAAACCTCATTCGTAAACAATCCAACTCCTTTTTAGTCTCCATCCCACCTCATTCGTAACTTTCCGTCTTCTTTTTTGACTTCTTCTTTACCGGGCATTTTGTCTTATCCCATCCCATTCGTAAAGGTGGAACGTTTTTCAATATTTCTTTTCTGCAGTGACTGTTTTGTTGTCGTGTTAAAAAGTTTCTTTCGGAAGACACAATCGAAAACAAATTCATTTGTACGAGAAAGTAAAGGAAATAATTAGAAAATTAAACATGAATTGGTACAGTGGTAATATAGCCGAGGCTGTGGCCAAATCCAAAACTCAAAATGCAATATTTGTCGTTTACGTTGAGGGTGAGTGCAATGGAAAATACCATCAAGCGAACACGTCATTTCGTTATTTATGCAAATCCCAATGTATTCATATTTTTATTCTTTTTTTTTTTTTAATTATCTCTAGGCAAAGATGAAAATTCGGCCAAGTTGTCGAAATTCATTGATGATCCTAAAATTAAGGATAAATTGCAATCGGATGACTTTGTGGCAATTAAAATTGAATCACAAAGTGAAACCTACATGCAATTCGCAGCCATTTACCAAATTGTTCCAGTGCCTTCGATATTTTTCATTGGTAAAACGGGAACACCTCTTGACATTACAACTGGTGTAGTGGCAAGTGTCGAGGAACTGGAATCGAAAATATTCAAGGTATTAGAACTTGCAGGCAAGTCACCGAAGACATCCAGTGGGGCAGCAATGAGCCAAGCATTTATAAATCAAGAAGCAAAGGCTAGCACCAGTGTTCAGCCAACTGTGGCAGCAACATCGTCAGGCGAACAAAAATCTGAGGGGAAGACCCACGAACCTAAGGAAATCGACACAAAATCGGTCGACAACTCGACGGAAGTTGTGTGTGAAGGTGGTGTTTGTTATAAAAAACCCAAGGAAGCAATAGCATCTGGCCCGACAGAAGCAACAGTGGAAAAGAAATCTGCAGAAGATACTGCCAAACTATCGGAAAAGGAGAAGGAAGAAAAATTGGCTGAAGCCAGAAAGATCTTGGAACAAAAAAGACGTGAACGCATTGAAGAAGAGAAACGTCTGGAGAAGGAGCGTGAACTGGAACGTCGCAAACAGGGCAAAGATATGCAAAATTTGCGAGCCTGGCAAAGGGACCAGGAACTTAAAGACCTGAAGGATAGCATAAAACGTGATCGCCTCGAAGAACAGGCGGCTCGAGAACGAATTCTTGCCCAAATTGCTGCCGACAAGGCTGAACGAGCTCATAAATTTGGCAATGACAGCAATAATCAAGCGTCAACATCACAAGCATCTGCTGCTGCAACCAATTCAACTGCACAGCAAAATAGTAAAGCACCACAACCTGCAGCTTCGGATGAAACACGTTTACAATTCCGTTTCGCCAGCGGAGATTCAAAGACTAAAAATTTCAAATGTTCCACAACATTGTCGGAAATACGTGATTATGTGAAAAATGAACTGCTGCCCGGCACTGGCATTAAAGAGTTTACCTTGGCCACGACTTACCCCAAACGAGAATTCACACCAGAGCACTATTCCAAGACAATGATCGATCTCGAACTGATACCAAGTGCAGTTATTTTAATCATAGGCAAAGAAGCCACTGGTCCCAGTGCCATGATAGCCAAACAAGGCGGCATCTTTAATATATTCTATATGATTGTTATGTCAATATTGAATCCGGTATTTTCGTTATTCAATGCGGCTAAGAATTGGATGACAGGTAGTAATAACAATAATAATGCCCAAGGCACAGGAGCACAGAAACGAGCCAATGAAGAACGTGGTGTTCAAGATGATATGTAAGTAAAAAAATATTAGGTTTTGTTGATTTAATAATAGTAAATTAAATCGTACAATGGTTCTGCTGATAAATAGGATCTATAAGAAAATAATAATCATATTAAGCCAAAGCTTGGTTTGATTTATGGCGACGAATAAACAAATCAAATCATATCATGAGCCGTAATTCCCGCTATTTGTTCAAAACTGCAGATGTATTTTTTTCCTGCATTATTGAATGTATGCTACTATAAAATGTAAGCTGATGTATGCCAACAACATTAACAACGATATCAAGATACCTAGTACATTTGGTGATCCCAAAAATGTTAAACGCCTTTGTTCTCAAAGAACAACATCGAATTTGTTATCTTAATTCAACATTTCAATTTATAGCCAATTGGTTATAAACACTTTCAGATAAGCTGAATTGGACTGCTGAAAGAAATCAACCTTGTTTTGGATAATCTTAACGTTTGCATGTTATAGTATCGATCTTTCATGGTTTTAATAATTTTTTTTTTTATCTTTTTGACAGTGCTAAACGTCGTAATCTGGATCGATTTGTAGGTGGTGGAAACTCTGTTTCTGATAGTGGCAATAACAGAAACACCAGCAGTGGTGGTCCCTCCGATTCACCGCCATCATCCTCATCTCAAGCCTATCGCCGTTATGTTTCCGGTTCGAATGTACATCGCCTTGCCGATAATCGTAAGGATTCGGATGATGAAAATGCCACATGGAATGGTAACTCCACACAACAACAATAATTCCATTTTTGCAATCTATCTATTTTGTTTCAATATATATGTTATAAAAAACAAAATATTAATTCCTTTTAAGATTTCTTTTATAATTGTAAGTAATTGGAGGAATCCCACACCCATCCAAATGCAATGTTTTGTGAAATTGGTATTTGTTTTGTTTCTAAATATTTAAGAAAAACTGAAAAAAATTATGTATGTGTTTGGGTCTGAAAATAAAAACAAAATGCTTTGTATTTAGTTACAAATTTATATAAATCGTCTATGCAATAATTAAATAAAATTATTAATATATATGATTGGTCTATATATAGTCCAATTAAAGACAAATTGTGTTCGAATTTGAAATAGAAAAAAAGAAATACTAAATGTTCTTAAGAACTACTGGTCTTCCATGAAAAGACCTAGTGATCTTCTATGAGAAGACATAATGGTCCTTTACGAGAAGACTTAATCGTATTTTATATTTTTCAGAAAATCGTAATTATGGTCACCACTATTAATAAAATTTTGGCAACTGGGAAATGTGAATTATATTGTGAGTGTAAATTACTATACCATTATGTAATCAATTCCCAAATTTTTATAATAGTAGTAAGAACAAAAAACGTATTAGTTCTTCTCTTCAAACAAAAGACATCGACATGTTTAACGTAAATTGTCATTTAACTGACAATAATTTATAATAGTACGTTTACATTGTACCGGATTTCGTTAACCAGTGAGTTTCAATTGCAGAGCTCCGAAATGCTCGCTCGAATTCGAGTAAAGAGTGAAACTTGCTCGAATTCGAGCGGGAGTACTCCTGCGAGTAGAAAAAGTAAAACGAGTATACTCTTTTTTTCTCTTCCACTCAAATAAGAGCGCAAGTGCTTCGCTCATATTCGAGTGGGAGTGAAATTCGCTCGAAATCGAGCAGATTCCACTCTTGTCGAGTACTCTTTTATTATTATTTATTTATTTTTTTTTTTTGATACCGTTGTTCCGTTTGATGTTGTTTGTGTTCTTTGTTTGTTTTGTGATGTTTGGTTTGTAACTCGTCACATGTGTAATGATGTATATGATCTATCTCCCCACATCACACAAAGGATCAACAACATTAACAGTTTGCTACTACGCACATACAAACAACCAAAAAATCAAATTTAATTGTCCACTCGATTTCACTCTTAGAGTGAACTCTTACTCTATTTCGAACGTTTTCGAACTCTTTTTCTTCAATAAGGAGTACTCGCGAGCACTCCCAAACAAAATAAAAGAGTGAAGAGTATACTCCTTAAAAAACTCGTACTCTTCTCGTACTCCCACTCGGGAGTATTTTTCACTCGCGAGTAAAATCGAGCAAATCGGAGCTCTGTTCAATTGTCATTGTATACATGTCAAATAAATCCTCATAAAGTAGGTTAAGCCGGTAAAAACCTCTAATGTAAATGCCGTTCATCCTAAACGACGATTAAGGAACCCCTCATTCTCGGGGTCATTTTTTTTTTTTGATTTAATTAGAATCTACACTATTTCAAGAATGTCCCTACAAAATCTCAAGAACTCTTGAAGATATAGCCGATTTATTGTATCATCATCACGTGAAGGCTAAAAGGCTTCTCAAACTTTAAACGCGTTTTTCTCTTTTTTGAATAGCGGGCACGATAACTCAAAATCTAATGACCCAATCGATTCCAAATTTTTACACGTTTCTCTGTGAGTGTATAGCTATCGTATGAACTAGGATAAAGCCAATCGGTGAAGATCTTCCTTATTTTTTAACTTGGTTTTTGGTAAAAGATCGGCGATTTTCCAAAAATATTTTTTCAAAGGTCCGCCGTTTTGTTAATTTTAAAGCGAAGTCAATAATCCTAGTTCATACGAGAGACAGACATGTGCTCTTTCTAAACCCGTTGGAATTTTCGGATTCCGATGTTCCAGTGGGGAGTTATCATGCCCGCCATCAAAAATAATGACTTTTCTTTAATTGCAATAAACAACAACAAAACAATAACAAACATTTTTTGTGAATTATTTTTCTTCTCTTTTATATCTTCAAATATATATGTAAACACGGTCCTTTCAACAACAATGTAAACACGGTCCTTTCAACAACAACATATTGCAATAGTTTTAAATTGCATTTGCATGAGGATTTACTTGGCATACATGTAATGGGGTTGACAATTAAAATCTACTGAAATTTTTATTTATTTGTCCTACACACAAAGGAAATGACCAAGGCCTATATAAGGTCGGCCAGTAAGCACAGCTGAGTATAAAGTTTGCTGTCAAATCATATTTTGAAACATATACATACATAAAAAATTATGTTAGACGTCAAAACGAAAATATTAATATTTTTTCAACATTCAATTCATTTTCAATTCATATCGTCTTTGTGAAGCACATTTGGACTATTTTAAGAGTTTAAAAAAGATTTTCAAGTAAATTATCTTACATATTATAAATTGTGTTGTGTTTTGGATGTGTTTTTATTTAAAGGCGAAGAATTAGTTTTCGCCTCGGCAAAAAAATTGACGTTAAACATAAGTTTTCTCTATATAGGCTTTGGAAATGACAACATAAACCAACAACTTAAATTACGATTTATTAGAAAACACGTCTCGTGTAAAAACGCCCGCATATAAAAACATTTCCGTCTATTTTTGTTACGTTACGACACATGTCCACTAATTTACAATTCATGCAAAAATGATAACAACGTATAATGCAAATCACTGTAAAATGATAACGACGTTATTACACAGATTTTGAAGGCAGTGATTCAGTGATTGTTTCGGCGTGAAGTCGTTAAGTCGGTAGATATAACGCTAGCGTGGAGGTATCGCAACAACCGACCATCAACTTTACACACAAAGCAGAAGCAAAGAAAAATAGAATATAAAACAAGAGAGAACAACTAGCAGCTCCAACTCCAACATAGCAAAGCAAGTGTTCTAAATGCAAACAAACAGAATCATTTATGTTTAGTGTGTAAATAACTAAACAAATAAATAAAATCCGGAAAAGGAAAATGCATCGATGAAAATAACGAGTGTAAAAACGAAATATATTACAAATTAACCTGTAATTATAATAGTGCACATCCCATATCTCTAAAGGGAGAAAATTAAGAAAGAAAAACACACAATTTAAGAAATTTTTATATATAAATATATTATTACATACATATATAACGTCTATATATCTATGTGTTTAGTGTGTGTGCGTATGTACGATTGTGTCTTTGTTTGAAACAGAAAAAAACCTAAACTAATAGTCGTTTGTAAATTTAAGTGTATTTTTCTTCTTTTTTTCGTGTGTGCTGCATGTTTCTTTTCTGCTAAAGTGTACGCAAAATTTGTAGAGAAAAAAATAGCAAGAAAAGAAGTTGTCTCTCCTCTCATCCCAGAATAACAATGAAAAAAGAATAAAATAAAACGAAACGAAACAACTAGTTCGTTCTACCCCCAACGTGTTCTTCTTTTGTTACAAGAAAGAAAAAAATATAAGTCTGTCTGTTCGAATTTGAATATAACAAATTGAAGTGAAAAAAGAAATAAAATACAAAAATATACTGTTATTCTTCTTTTACAGTAGAAAACTAAGCCCAAAAAACAATAACAAAAGTGTGTGAGCAAAAAGAGCAGCAAAATAACAACAATTTATTGTTTAAAATAAAATTGATAAAGCAGAGTGGTAGCAGCAGAGTGTTGTAATAACACAAGCAAAAAAACGAAAAATAAATTTCAATTGGCGTCTCGTCGCGTTTATTTGACACAGCTCCAGCCAGTAATCTCAGTGCTCTCTCCCCAGCTCTCTGCAACTCGCATGCTCTCTGTCTCCTTTGATTTCCTTTAATGTTTGGTTTCGGTTTATAAGTGAAGTAACAACAATAACAACACACACACGCACATCTGTACAACAATTGTGTGACGGCCAGTGAGAGAGCGAGAACACAAGAGCCCACAATAATAACAGCTTCCCCTCTTCTTCTTCCTTTATTTCAAACTACTCAGCTGCCAAACAACAGAATTCACATTGTTTGTTTGTGCCGTTTATCGGAGATTCGCCTTTGTTGTGCTGCTTCAACGTCAATGCATTGTGCGCGGCCTAGTTGATGGTGGTGGTGATGGCGTTGTGCTGCTGATTTCCACAACCGGCGTTTTAACATTAGAAATTGTTATTAAACAACAATAACAAAAAGAAATTGCAAATAAAAAATAAACACCAATAACAAAACTAAATTAAAAGGAAAAGGAAAACATGTATACAATAACAACAAGAACCAAATAATAAAAGAGAAATTTTGTAATTATAAATGAAAAGTGAAATATATTCGGCATAAAATTAAAAAAAAATATATATACATATATATATATATATTTATATGTATGTATGTATAACCAAAATCAATATTCGTTTATGATGTTTTGAGAAGATGTGTTAAATATTGAATTGCAAATTAGCAACAGCAAGCATTAGCAATCACAGCAACAAAAATAATAACAACAAAAGTAAGTCTTATATGGTATTTAGGTTAAGATTCATTTGTTTTTGTTCTATTTTTTATTTTAATTTTAAATTTTGTTTATTAATTTCTTTTGACTGAATCGGACTTTTGTTTCTTCTCTTCCGTATCCGCCGTTGCCGTTACTTTGGCGAATTCTACCCTTTTTCTTCCAAAAAAGGCCGGCCATTGGCGATAATGGATATTTTTCTCCTTTGTCGTTTGTTTTATTTTTTTGTTCGAGTGTTCTGTCTCTTTCACTCTCTAACTCTGGGATCTGAGAGAGCAAACATTTTGCATTCGATGTTTTTTTGTTGTTGCTGATTTTTTTTCTTCTGGTATCATGGCTGGACTTGTATGTTGCATGTGTTGGTTGAGTTGTGTAGACAATGTGTTTCTTTGGTATGTTTCTTTATTTTTTTGAAAAAAAGATACAAATTTGTTTATTTTTTTATTCATAAAATGAAATTTAAATAATTGTGTTAATATTAAGAGTGTCATATAGGAGATGTGAATTGAGTAAGGACACACCTTAACTGGTCTCATCTACTCATTTTTTTGTGTTTTTTTTTTTTCTAGTATACCGCCATCCGTCTATTTAAGAGGTTATGTTGAGGGTGGATAACAGGGTCAAATTCCGCAACAAAATTGTTGTATATTATTCGCCATGACATTTTGTTAGAAAAATGATTAAAATTACACAATTTAGTCACCTAGTCGGTATAGGTTTTTTAAATTTAATGTTGGTGCAGCCTTAAAAGTTCCTGAAAAAATCTGGCATTGCTACAATTTGTTAAATTTTGTTACACGTATTTTTGCTATAATCAAAATTAAAAAATATAGCTCTTAATACGAATAAAAAAATACATAAATACATACATACATGTAAATATTTTTATACCCTACACAACTATGTTGTCAGGGTATTATAGCTTTGTGCAGCCCCAAGAGTTTGTAACAATATAAGTCGTAGACCCACCTTTAAGTATACCGATCGTCATATATCGACTAGCTGAGTCGATCTAGACATGTGTGTCCATGTGTCCGTCCGTCCGTCCATTATAATTTGTAAACACGATACATGCCACATTTATGGACCAATCTTCACGAAATTTTGCATGTAGGATGGGTTCTGGCCAATGAAGACCCATATTGTTTTTTGGAAAAGATCGGTTAATATTAGGGGATGAAATGAACCAATTACTTGATTTTTGTCGGTATTTCTGGTCGCTTCAGAGGCCGTAATTATGGCCCGAACATCGCGAAATTTTACATGGAGAAGGTGGTGGGGCCAAAGAATAAGCATGGATGTTTTGATAAAGATCGGACAATACTTAGCGGGTCAAATTTTTATTCTGGGGCGTATATATTTTCTCCTGAAGGATATAGACCCGAGGAGTTGATAGTATATCCAAGAGGAGTGGTTGACCTTTAAATTGATACGAAATATAGTGGTGTATCTACTCAGATGTGGGAGTTACACTCAAATATTTACAGGTGCTTACGTATTCAGATATCATGATAGTATATCCAAGGGGAGTGGTTGACCTTTAAACTGATACCAAATATAGTGATGTATCTACTCAGATGTGGGAGTTACACTCAAATATGTAAAGGTGCTTACGTATTCAGATTTCATTTAGTAACCCATTACCACATTAGAGGGCGGAAATATCGCGCTGATCGCTTTGAAATTTTCCATGAAGTTCCAGTTATGGTCAAGGACAACGCCTAGAATTTTCGGTGATGATCAGATTAAAATTTTGGGAATTAAATGGACCGAAAACTTTAATGTTTTTGTGTGTTTCGTGTCGAATATAATCCGAACATCACAACACAACCCACCATAAAGGGAATCTGGACAAGTAATTAGAAGGGATGTACTGAATATTCGAAAATGTAAGGAAGAGGTGCTGTTTTGACCTATAATCGGACAAGGAGGGGGCAAATATCACGAAATATTATTCAAACTCGGAATAAACATCCGCAGAAAGTTAGAGTTTCGTGGTAGTTGTGTAGGATATCGTATGGTCGGCCCCGTTCGACTATACTACTCCGCTCACTGGTTTATAATTGTGACATGTTAGAAAAGGGACAAAATAAAGTTTTAATCGACAATGTTAACGATCGGCTTGTCGCTCTTGAAATGTCGACTTTGCGATATCTTCAAATATCAAAAGTCGACCTTTTCTATACCAAAAAATCAGTGGAATGTCCATTTAATTATCCCTAGTCGGATCCATACCCCAATAAATAGTTGTTAAGAATCCAAAATACATGTTGTGTAGGGTATTCGAATTATGTTTCCCGTTAGTATTTTTTCAAATGTTAAAGATTTGAGGTCCTCCCACCGAAAGGAGTGAACCGATAGGAGGACGCATATATGTATTTGCACAAGGTATGACAATAACATAACGATGTGTAAATTTTGAATCGATTCGGATATTCCATAAGCTTCACTTGAGATTTAGAAACGTTTACAATTTTGGGAGAATTATCAGAAGGAGTGGACCAATTGGCATTATCTTTAGGCCTGATATAGTTTAGATACATAAGTAATCGTTTTAACATCGAATCGGATATTCTATAGATCATATTAATGGGTTTGATCTAGGCTTAATAGACATATGGAAAGTTGGGATCAAATCGAAAACTTCGTTCACATGATATATAATTGTGGATATACGTAAGGAGTGCTTTGATATTTCCATATTCGAATTTTATATACGTTTGAAAGAAGAATTGGGCCAAATTGATGTATGGTATAATAATGTGATATTTGCTACTGATTTTCATTCGGATCAAAGAATTTCGAAACAAAGGTTTTAGTCTACAGTTTATAAGTGTCGGACAATTCATGTGGTTTGGTTGGATAACTGCTTGACAAATTCTATAGATTCACATATTGTCTATAAGCCCATTATTGCCTCAATTTGTTGGAACCCAAAATTTCGGATACTAAGTTATTGTGCAGTATTCTGCTTTACAGAACAATATACATGTAATCTGAGTCAATTTTTCTTCTTGCATATGGCCCTCCAACCGAATATGAGCCGTTGTTTTTAATTTGGTCCTTCGAGCCGGATATAAACAAATCTTTTTGAATCTTATTTCCTTAAATTAATTCTGTAGATTACTGTGTTTAGACACACATAATGAGTTTGTTCAGCAGCACACCTCAAATATATATATATATATATATAAATGAATAATTCAATAATTTTGATCTGGAAATTATATTATTCGGTTTAAAATATACAATTTGAATTTCAAATTATTCAATTTGTAATTCAACTAATTTACATTATTTTTTCATATATATTGCGTAGCATTACTATTATATATTATTAATTTTTAATATTATTTCATCTTTTCAGGGATATAAAATCAATTGGAATTTCTGCGAAATAAATTAAATATTTACCTCAACGCACCCACCCACTTTCTTTCACTGTACATAAATCTAAATTAAATCAAGTCCCAGAATAAAAATATCTGCACGAGCTTGAAATCCTATAATTAACGGTTTTATAACGAAATTCTCAGTACGCATCCATAGCAAAAAAGTAAATAAATAAAAATAAAATAAAAAAATCAAAGTCACAAAGGACTTATTTTAATGGAAAAAATACGCGCGTGTGTATAAAAAAGAAAATATATATTTAGTGTTTTTTTGTGCATTTTACTGATGCCAGAGTGAAAGAGTGAGTGGGTTCGTTAGTAGCTCATGCAAAAATTGGAAAACTGGATAATTTTGCTGTCCTGTCCTTACAACAATTGGCAAAATCTACATTACCATCTAGATACATCACATCATTGTCACCCCCTCTTCCCCGCTCCATTGTTAGAAAGGGTATTCGCCACACAACTTGAAATTGTTTGTTAGGCACAAAACCCCAAAAAACACGTGAAATAAATTCTCTCTGGTGGTGGTAACATTCGATGAGCGTTTCGATGTCACTCGTACAAGGTGGAGCTGCTGGCGGTGCACCCCAAGGTGCTATTCTAGCTGCCGCCGCACCATATTATCAGCCACCGGCTGTACCACAGGATGTCCAGCCAGATCGACCAATTGGTTATGGTGCTTTTGGTGTAGTATGGTAAGTAGTATTTGAATTTTGAATTTCCTTCAATTTTTATTTAATATAAAATATGGGTTCTGAAATAATCGATTTGAGAGATTGTAATAATGTAAACAAGTTTTTGAATTGAGTTTATTTGAGAAGTCCGGAGGAAAGAAACCAGGAACTGACCGTTTAAAACATATATTTAAACATTTTTGCGAGGATATTTACATTTAATTACAATAAAGTTTCCAACGTCACCTTGATCTATACAATACTGTCGCGAATGATGTTTGAAACAATTTACATATTCAAAACCAGTAAGAAAAGCAGTAAAGTCGGACTGGGCCGACTATATGATACCCTTCACCACTTGGGGTATATCCTTACAATCAATCCTTATATCAATGTGCCCTCGAGGGAACATGCTCATGTCATTCTGCAACCTATGCTAAATTTATTTTTATTTACTTTGAATTATGTAAAAGCGGACGAATATATATTTATATGTGGGAACTATATTGAAATCTGAACCGATTTTCCCGAAACTTACCACAAATCATTCTAAACTCAATTCAGTACGCTATACAAAATATCATGCAAATCGAAGGATATAAAAGGGACTTTGGTGCACTATTTACCTAAAATCGGAAGAAAATATATATGGGAGCTATATCTAAATTTTAACCAATTTTTACGAGACTTAACACACATCATTCTAGGCCTAATTCAGTACACTATACCTAATTTCGTGCAAATCAAAAGATATATAGGGACTTTGGTGCACCATTTACATTAAATCGGACGAAAATATATATGGGAGCTATATCTAAATCTGAACCGATTTTCAGGAAACTTAACACACATCATTCTAGACCTAATTCATTGCGCTGCGCCAAATTTCGTGCAAATCAAAGGGACTTTGGTGCACCATTTACATAAAATCGGACGAAAATATATATGGGAGCTATATCTATATATTTTTTTAGTTTCTGATTAAACAGCAGCTTTGAGGCAGGAGGTATCAGTGGTTTTGGGGACAGCTATCAGACTTGATCACGGTTTAGTAATAGTATTACGCCGCGAAAAAAATAGGATAATTTCGAATACAATCAGGATAATGTAAGATTTACAAATTTTCAAAATGTTTAACCTTTGTGTGAGTTGACCGAAGGGGCTTATCTTTGACACGTACTTCCTGTCATTGAGTTTAATTTAAGATTGATAGAATTATTATGATGTGGCAAGTTTGAATTAAATCGGTTACTTCCTTAACAAAATTTCAAAATTATTAAACTTTGTGAGGGAGGTATCAGAAGGATATTCCATATCTTCGAGCTTGATTTAAGTTTAATAGAATTCTTATGGTGTGGGGGGTTTGGATTAAATCGGTTACTACCTTTGGATGTTATCGAGGGCACGATCAAGACAAGGACGGACATTTCTAAATATATGTCCTGCATAATTTATTCCAAAGATTTTCTGAGTAAGGATCGGTTAAAAGTCAAAAAGAACAATGAAAAATGCGGATATCGATTTCTTGTCTTTCTGAACCTTTCAGAAAATGTATCACGCCATAACTCAAAAACTTGACCCATGACGAATTTCTGGGTTTTTTGATACACTAACTAAGGACGTTCATTCTTATAAATAATTTTCCACATTCCTGACCATGACCATGAGTTCCATATCGTTGCATAGTGTTACCAGACTAAAATTATAATAAAACAAAATTAGTTTGGTAATCTATTTTTCTTCGAAAGATTAACACCAGACTGTTTATTTTTTGACCATTTTTATCCTTCCTTCAACACTCGTTAAACACATTAAAGACAAGGGAAAAACTTTCCAAAAAAAAAATCAAAGACCCTTCTTCTGACTAATGATTATCGGCGATAAAAGGAGTTTCTTTTCAAATTTCTAACTATGCACTGACTGGCTGGATGGCTAGCTGGCTGGATGGCTGGCAGGTTATCCATGTTCAGACATAAAATTTTCCATTCACGTGTGGAACGGCATTTCCGGATGTAATCAAATGGAAAAAATCGTTTTTTTTCTCCCTGACATTCTTTTAGGCCTGACAGACTGGGCAAAAATGTAAGCAGACTGAAAAAAAAACTCAAAACATAAAACATTAAGACAGGAATGAAGAGGGAAGGCAAAGAAGAAGGCCCAAGCAGGCAGGCTGTTAGTCAGCCCAATATCGACAGCCAAACAAATACCGTTCGTTCATTACACCGACAACCAAAACAAAGGAGGAACGAACAGAAAATACAACGGACTACAAAAATAATAAACAAACCCGTAGAAAAAACAACAACAATAAAAACAAAAACACGTAAAGACGAGTTAAACAAAAATCCCAAACCAAATTCTCCACCTAAGAAGTAAAAACGCTAAATACAAAACTTGAATGCATCACTAAATCCGAAAAGAAAAAAAAAACACAAACACACACACACACCTAATCGTTGTACGGACTCGCGCATATGCGTCAACATACATATATCCCACACAAACACACGCACATCGATACAAACAAACCTATAGTCAAATGTGCAAGTGAACGAGTGTTAAAGACCCTTCTTCTTTGTCGCCGTCTTTTTTTTTTGGCTTGGCCATGGTGCAAACAAGAAGCCAAAAGGCATTATTACTACTTTGGCTTAGCAAGAGGCAACAACAAAACAAAACAAAAGAGAAAAACAAAAACAACACCAGAAATTGTTGGCTGTTGTCTGCATGCTCCATTCTTCCAGTCGTTGCCGTCGTTCAACACTACCAGCCAACTTTATTGCTGAGGAACCAGCCAGCAACTTCTTATACAGACACACACACACACACACAAACATGCTACCATGTATTCCAGTATTGGCCAAGCCTAAGGCTTTTGTAGGGAAACACGAAGAAAACATCAGAAAAACACCATGAGTAATATTATCCAGTGATACGTCGGGGTTCTGTTGTTGTTGTTATCCAGGCAAAAAGGCATCAGAATCGATAACTTAAAAAAAACTTCGTTTCCTTTCTTCATCAGCTCAATCTTTGGGCCAACAATTAAATGGTGTCTGAGTGATAGCATTTATGGAACGAATCCATCCGATAAGGATATTGGACTTTGACATAGAACGATAAACCAGAAGATTATCGGCTCACAAAACATAAGAGAAATACACATATTTTGATGGGAATCGCGAAAGTCATCATATGCTTGATGGCCCCAATACAAATCATATATTATCAAATAAGATCAGAAAGTATTCTATGTTCATATAGGACCCAATGATCAAGAGATAGGTATACATTATTCTCTATTTTTTTAGAATATCTGGAGTCTTGTCCTTTCTTCTTATAGACGATCTACTCGTGGAAGATCGAAAGGTATTTTTTCTGATGGAAGATTTTAAGTTCTTCTGACAATAAAGGTTCCTGTTTTGGCATAGCCATAGAAAGGATTCGATCGATAGGTAGATATTATACTGTTGTTTCGTAGAATATCTGGGCGCATTTTCACTCTTCCTATAGACGATATACTCGTGGAAGATCAAAATGTATATTTTTCAATGGAATATTGTTATTCTATTCGTGGAAAATCCAGTGGTGTTTCTTCTACAAGAGGAATAACAGTTCTTCATCCACAATCGACCTGGAGATTTTTTCGTCTCTCCTCCTAGAAGACCAGAAAGGTAATCATATCCCGAAAGACCAAGAGGAAATTTTTCTCATAACAGAAGATGAGCGCGTGGTTTCTCATAAAATCACAGGAGGCCTATGCAGGTCTTCTTCTCAAAGAAGAATCTCTTATTTTCAGAGAACATCAAGAAAAATTCTTTTTGAAGAAAACCAGCAAGGATTTCTCATAAAATACCAGGAGGTTTTCTTTTTTAGGAAAAATCTACAGTGGATAAAGAACCACAGAGAACCTGTAGGATTTTCGACTCCTCTCCTGGAATACTAGAGGGGTCCACTTATTCTTAAAAGGTAAAACAACAGGGTATTCTTCTCATAAAACACCCGAAGGGTTTCCTCTCAGGTATGTTATGCATGTCTTACTCTCATAGAAAAGTAGGTTCTTTTCATAGAAGAACAAGAAAAAATCATGATACAGAAGACCAGCAGGGTCTGATTAGCAAAATATGGGTAGAATAGCGAAAGTCGTTCTCTTGGAAGATCGGTACGTCTTCTATTTATATGTAGGGTCATAGAATAACAGCAGTTCTTCATACACAGAGAATCCGTAGAGGTTTTCGTCTCCTATCCTAGAAGACCAGAAGGGTCTTCCTATCTTGAAAGACCAAGAGGGAATTTCTCTCATAAAAGACCTCAGATAACTTATGCAGGTGTTTTTCTCATAGAAGGATATCTCATTTCTAGGGAACATCAAGAAATATTATTCGTAAAAAAACTTAGCAAAGATTCTTTATAGAATACCAGAAAGATTTCTTCCCTAAAGAAAAACAGCAGTTCTCCTCTGCTAGACTACAAGAGGAGGCTATATATCCTGAAAGAGTTAATATAATAGCAGGGTATTCTTTTGATAAAAGGCCTCTATATTTTCTTCTCAGATAAGTTATGTCTATCTTTTTCTCATAGAAAAATAAGTTATTTTCATCGAAGACCAAAAACAGAACTTTCTTCACACATAAGACCAAAATATATTCTTCATACAGAAGACCAGTATGGTTTCTTCTTCTTTTGTCCAGCTGGTCATATATACCCCACCAGTATACCTCCATCTCATAAAAGTGAATTTATTTCAGGATACGACCCTCAAAAATAAGTCAGATAAGCCATTTTCTCTCAGGAGAGAAAATTACCTACCGAACTTCTAACATTGGTACAGCAAATGGAAAAACGATATCTCTTTTTCGTATATAAGCCAAAAGGTATTGTTCTCATAGGGGACAAGCAGGACATCTTCTCATAGAAGATCAAAGAAATGTTTCAGAGATGATCAGAAGGGCCTGATTTTAGTAAAGGACCATCCTAGAATTTCCGCAGGCCATCTCATAAAACTACAGGTGTTTTTTCATATACGA